AACAAATTTCGTTAAATTTATCCGATTTCCACTCTGTAGACAATATTGATTCTTTTTTTGTTTTCGGTTTTTAGGAAATTTACCTATATTTATTTGAATGTCAAGAAGAACTTAATCGTTCAAAATTGTACTTTTTGGAAATAGTTGTTGAAATTATGGTTAAAAAATATGACAAAAAGTAGATTTAGAATATATACACAGAAATTTAAATTTAGAATGATGTATTTAAAAACATCTTGTCAAACTTTTTTGCTATCAAGAAAAACTCAATTATTTTTACAAAATGTTTTGTTGTTATTATATGTATACATTCTACCATCTATAGAATAGAATAAATTTTTTTTTTTTTTTGAAAGTGATGTTAATATATAAAACCCATAACTTGTGAACGTCTGTTAATTTGTTTGGTTGTTAATAATGAGCTGCTATACCAGTTTGAAATGATTGCACTTAAAAATCTATGTCAATTAAAAAAAAAACCTGGGTTCTCCTAATTTGTTTTTAAGTTTAACAAAATTACTAGGGAAATGAGTGGGTAAATTAGGACGCACATTTTATAACACATTTCATTCATGTTCAATGCATATTATTGAAAAACGATACCCTGAAATATTAAATAAGGCCCTAAACCTAGCGATTTCTATTTTATGACATATTTTATTTATAAATTATATAGTATTACAGCGGTTTTTAAATGTTGTTTCATGTTTGTGTACAGCTGAACCATTAGAATTGTTTCCAATTTATCTTGATGTGGTTAAAGATGCACAACGATTAATATTAAGCGGCGAAATAGACGAAGCAAGTACTAAATTAATCATTGCAACACAAGCTATGGTTCTCGAAGTACCGGATCCGGACGTGATCGGAGACAAAGAAGTAGTGGATAATTTTTGGGGAAATTATAAGGATCTCACAGAAGATGTAAAAAAGGTTGTTCTAAGAGATATAAAAAAAGTCGTCAAAAAGTTTGTAAATGACGTAAAAATCCAAAAAAAATAGAAAAAATAAATTCAAAATTTATACTTTTAACTAACAATATTTTTGTTTTCTATAAAGATAAACTTGAAATGCTTGTTGTTAATAGGTTATATATATATTTCACGTTATTCTTTTGTAATATATGATATATTATACGTCATATTGTACACTATTTGCCTTTTTGATTTTATTAATTTTTTTTTTATACGTAGTTCCACGGGGAAATTACAATATTGATATACCAAAAATCATACCCCAGAGAATTTCATATCCAAACGAGGTTCATTAGCTAATGAATATTTTAGTATGAGAATGGTCCCCACTTGCTTATACTAGATACTTTTGATAATACATTACTAATATTGGTAAAAGTAACAAGTTAAAACTACTTCTCAGATAAGTATTTTAAAATAACATTTAAAAAAATGATGGATACCGACAAAAATACACCTGTACAGATGTACACCTAAGTCATGCTGTAATGTCAACTTGCTATAACTCAATGATTTGTTATGTAACAAGGGGATGAAACAATAAAATACAGTAGTGACTATGACAAAATGTTACGAGTGAGAATTTTTATAGATTTTGCAACGTATTTTTTTCTTGCAAAACCAGAAAGATTATTATCTGAACATTATTTACCGTTTTTTTATTTTTACTGCGCCGACACGATTTTGTATGTTATAATAGAAGTGATTTTTAAACCGTTTAAATCTGTAAAGAAAATTCATTTAGAAAAAGGTTTCAATGGGTATATCACGATTAGTTGTGTTGTAGGGCGCTCTACTTGGGTTTTGGGCAAACGTGGTAATTCATTTTGTTATAACATTGAGAAATAAAATATACTGGCAGTGTTGCTTTGGACACTCTCGCTTATAGGCAAAGAACATACTTTCATTATTTTGTTAACTACGGTATATGGGTAACTATGACAATACATTTTTATAGTCAGACGATCAACCCCAAAAACGTATCCACCTTATGATTAAAAAATAAGTTTTAAGCACATAATTGTTATTAGGTACAATGCTTTAATCGATATTTGTATTTTTTATCTGTGAACACTGTAGGTCCCTTACTTACTCATTTACTACTGCTTACTACTACTTCTACTACTACTACTACTCACTTAGGTATAATATTTTTTCTCTGTGCAAGTTTAGTGTGCTTGGTTTAGGCTATACTGGTTTGAACCCACTAGCCACAGATTTGCATATAATCGTTTATTTAAAAGTGATTTTATCACTTTCAGTTATAATAATTCCTGTAGATTTGTGACCGTTCCGTCCCCACTATGCCCCAAAACCACTGTACTGGTGTTTTTTCAGTGGTATTGTATAAATTGAGTTTTTACAATATATGTAGCTTTTTTAAACGCACTATTCACCATTTGACGTAGGTGTTTTAATCGATTATCGTTCACAAGAACATTTATTTCTATTGTTAGTTAAATTTTTTACATTGCTTTTGATTGTATAACAAAACTAACGGGTTTCTAATTAAATATTTAATAACTCTGGTTTATAGTTTAGTCAAAGTAAATATAATTTGCACTGCACGACTTATGGTACGATGGGTGCCTAAAGAGTATAGATCATATTTATGTTTGTCACACTTGTGTTAGAACCACATTGGACCAACAAAACAAAATGGGGTTAATGAAGAGGCGTCTTACCGTCTATTGTATTTTGAGTTATGGTTTTTCTTTTTTTTGGCTATAATGCACAATTGACTGTTGAAGATTTATTATTTCATACCACCATTATTAAGTATGTTTGTCGATGAAAAATAATAAATATTATTGTTTTTTTTATTTTCATTATAGGTATTTATCATGAACTCAAACATGCGTCTTCGTTTGTCATGTTATTTGCAATTTTTTCCTTTGGTCTCCTCGTAAGTGAAACATTTTATATAAAACATAAAAAATATGAATATTGTTTAAATGTATAAAACTATTTGTACTCGTTTGTTTTAATAGAAACATACATATGTTTCACAATGTTGAAATAATAGTAATATTTTACTTATTGTCTGTTATAAAATGTAACTAATATACTTGGCAATCACTAATTCCACGAACCTTTATAATTTTGTACCAAATTTTCTTTGACTTTTCTTCACTGAATCTGCAAAACTGTTGTATTATAGTTCTACTGATATTTGAGTGATATCTGAGATATTTAACAGTCGTCAAGAACTATGATACTACTAATAGTACTTATATTATGTATGTTTGCCTATCAGATTTCATTACATGCTGAGTCAAAGGAGGACAAGGTCTTGAGCACATTGGACCCTATAAAAAGTCTGCAATGAAGACTTGAGCCTTACACTTATTTAATTAGATGTTTTAGAGAGGATACAGGTATAGTAGTGAGTATAGATTTAAAATACATATATATATAAAAAATCATAAATATGGCCCTGATCCTAAAGATTTATATTTCATGGCACAGTTTACCTATAAATTGTATAGTGTTATAACTGTTTGTAAAATGTTTAATCTCATTTGTGTACAGATGAGAAAAAGGAATTGGATTCAGTCTATTTGGACGTTGTTAAAGATGCACAACAATTAATATTAAACGGCGAAAGTGACAAAGCAAGTACTAAATTGATCACTGCAACACAAGCTATGGTTCACGAAGGATTTAAGGATCTTACAGACGACGTCAAAAATATTGTTCTAGGCGGTATAGAAAAAGCCGTCAAAAAATTTGTAGAAGAAGTAAATAGCAAAAAATAATAGAAAAAACAAATTTAACATTTACATTTTTAATTAACAATACTTTTGTTTAGTTAAAAATAAATTTTAAATGATTGTTGTTGATGGTTATATATATTTAATGTTATTCCTTTGTCATATATAAGATATTATACGCCATATTGTACACTTTTTGACTTCTATTAATTTTTTTATACGTAGTTCTATGGGCGAATGACAATATTGATTTGCTAAAAATCATACCCTAGAGCATTTCATATCCAAACAAGGTTCATTAGCTAATGAATATTTTAGTATGAGAATGGTCCCCACTTGCTTACTAGATACTTTTGATGATACATTACTAATATTTGTTGAAGTAACAAGTTAAAACTAGGACACAGGCAAGTATTTAAAAATAATATTTTAAAAAATAATGGATACCGACAAAAATACAACTGTACACCTAAGTCATGAACTTGCTATAACTCTAGATATTCGCCAGAAAATATGGATGTGACTTAAATAATTGCATTAATATAGTGTCGGGAACCGGCAATACTAGTCTAGCGAAGAAAAATAATTAATCATTATGTAACAGGGTGATGAAGCAATAAAATATAGTAATGACTATGATGAGCCCTAATTATACTAACTACATGCATCGAAAAATATGGATGTGTTTGGTAAAATGTTATGCTGACCCACAGTCCTAAATTCCTTTACTGACTATACTTAAAATAGGTGCTCGAATTTGCCTCATTTTTAAAAACGAATTAAATTACAGTAATTTTTTATTTTTTCATATAGATAAAATGAACACTGCACACAGTGTTGAAATTTGGTGTGGTTTTGAAAACGACATTTAGTGGACTTTGGTGTCGTAACACGATTATTAATAATTACAAACAGAAATTCGAATATTCTAGCTAAGGTACTGTTTTGAATCACATTATATCGTTGCGTGACATTTGTTTGCCCAACAACTTGGAAAACAAAACTGCTTATTGCCGTATAAATTTATAAATAACTACCATATTTTTTATTTGTCAACATAGACGCACATATGTTACAAGTGATAATTTTCGTATACTTTGCAATGCACAGCTCACGGTACTATGGGCGCTAACGAGTATAGATCATATTAGGTGCGTCACGTTTGTGTTAGAACCGCATTGGACTAACCAGACAAAGTGGGGGTAGTGAAGAGCCGTCTAACTGTCTACAATAGAATCCCATTGGTTGTTTTATGTTAACACAATATTATATTGCAAAAGGGGTGTTACTTGCGATTTAAGAAAATGCGGAAAGTGGAGGAGAGTAACAAAACTAACTGCATAAAGTCAAACCGATCGTATACTGTATTAGTGATTTTTCGAGTTTCTCACACATATCTTAACCCATAAGGTGTATCAAACAACTACAAAGTAAGTAATATTTAAAATTATTTTTCTTTGATGGTATGCTTATATATTTTTTTGTAATGAGGCCTTTACAACTAAAGTTAGCATATACTATTTTTATATAAATATACTAAAAAAATGTTTTATTTCTGTATAATGTAATTTTTTTTTTTTTATTAACAAATTTTGGTATGTAAGAGTGCTTTGCCATACGAGTAAATAAATAAATAATTATGGTGCATTCAACATGTTACAGACAGGTTATTGATCAGTCAAAATGTAATTTAAAGTACTTCACATTCAATGTCTCATTAATTGGTACCATGTAGTTTTACAGAAAAGATTCCATGGTACAATACCCGTTTATAATGTTGATTTGCAATAATACTGCTCAGTTTATCAGAAACGTGTATTTCCCGGGACATAATTTTGTAAAAAACGTAGTTAAACAAATATCTCATTAACCATTTAATTTTATAGAAAAAGTTCTTTGGCCCAAAAACCGTTTAAAATATCAATTTGCAATAATTCTGTTCAGTTTATCATTAACGTGTAAGTCCCGGGACATAATTTTTTAAAAAACGTAGTTAAACAGCTTGTAAAGTTGGAAACTAATATAGATTTTCATTCCAGAGTAAATATTAAATGTGTGTTTATCTGTATTGTTAAGTGTGTTAGAACTATGAAAAATAACAATTATTATTGGTTTTTTTTTTATAGGTATTTACCATGAACTCAAACATGCGTCTTCGTTGTGTCGTGTTATTTGCGATATTTTCCTTTGGCCTCATTGTGAGTCAAACATTTTATATAAAACTAAAAACATAACAAATATGAATATATAGTGTAACTAAAAACGTGGCTAATATACTAGGCAATAACTAATTCCTAGGACCCTATTTAATTTCGTACCAAATTTTCTTTGACTTATCTTCACTGAAGCTGCAAAACTAACTAATATAATATACTATTATTTTACGGTACAAATTGCTCTGGAATTTTAAAGGATGTTTTATTTAACTTGAATTACATTATTTTTATTTAATTCAAAATTAATTATGGGTATCACTCCGCAATAGTTTTCCGGTCGAATGCCCCAAGTTATTAGCGAATGCCCCGAGGTATTTGAAAGATTACGAACGAATACCTGGACTGACAGGCAAAAAGTAGTAGTTATGTTCCCGCTGTACCTTAGGGAGGAAGCAAAGATTTTGTTCAAGCAAATATAAGGGGTGAAACTACAAAATAGCTTAACTTGGTCTATTTCAAAAAAAGTGTTCACGGAATACTATGATTCCGAGGAACAATACGAGCGCTTTTAAGAGAAAATTTAAATGGAACAAAAAAGCGGCCGGAGGGAACATTATAGAGTTATAGTTTCAAGGTATTGGGAGAATGTAAACGAGTGGATGATCAGATGAGTCAGAAAGAGATATGTAAGATAATTATGAAGGGGTTACCTCATGATATATGCAATGGACAACGCTACGGTTGATAAGGTAATATCAAATAGAGTAAGTCCGTTACAACTATGTATGTCTTTCAGATTTCGTTACATGCCATTCCATCCACCCAATCGGACCCTATAAGAACACTGAAATCGAGAATTGAGGCTAACATTTTTTTAATTAGTCGTGAGTATTTATCTAGTAGTTATTTAAATTATTATCGTGGTTTATTTTTGTCTAATACGCAAAAGGAAAAGTAGTTCCGAAAAGTTGATCCGATTTCCATTGTTTAGATACCGCTGATTTTTTTTTTTTTTTTAGGTGGGTTTAGGAAATCTATACTTATTTAATTTTAAGTTGAACTGAAAATAATTGTTGTAAACATGGTCTAAAAATATGACAGAAAATAGATTTTAAACTTATATTATATAGAAATCTTAAATATGGCCCTGGCCCTAGCGATTTATATTTCATGACACAGTTTACTTATAAATTGTATAGTGTTATAACTGTTTGTAAAATGTTTTATCTCATTTGTGTACAGATGAGAAAAAGGAATTGGATTCAGTCTATTTGGATGTTTTTAAAAATGCACATCAATTAATTTTAAACGGCAACATTGACAATGCCAATGCTGAATTAATCTCTGCAATACAAACTATGATGGTTCTCGAAGGATCTAAGGATCTCCCAGAAGGTGTAAAAGAAATTGCTCTAAACGGTATGAAAAAGGCCGTCGAAAAATTTGTAGAAGAAGTAAAACCAAAAAATTAATAAATTCAACATTTATATTTTTAATTAACAATATTTTTGTTTTATAAAAAGATAAAGTTTAAATAGTTATTGTTAATGTTTTAACTTATTACATGTTATTATTTTGCCACATAATATAATACACGTCATATTGTACTCTATTTCTTTACTATATGTGTTGTACTACAAGTGTTCTTAAGTTTTTTCTAGAAAAAAACATTAATTACTAATAAACAATAGAATTATACTTAAATACCTACCATAGCGACAATAATAACACATTAAAGAAAATACTGTAAGGTTATTTTTAATAACCTAATAAGAAATGAAAAATTTACTTAGAATTCGGTATTGAACCAGAAAATTCAAGTTTTAAAATTAATATTTATTCCTATTGGTCCAGTAATTATTACTCTACTAACACTCATATTTATTTTATAAATAGCACAATAGCCCATATGGAGCGTAATATTGTAGGAAGTAAGTATATATTAGCATTCAATGATGTTCATTAATGTCGGATTAGATTAAAAACCTTAAAAATCCAGGAAAGGAGCAGAAATAAAGTCTGAAAATAAAAAGTGTCTAGAAAACTTTTTTATTATTAAAAACGTCTTTGAAAGAGTTAAAAATAAATATAAATAAAATATGGGTGTGTAACCACTTTATCTAATTGATGTTGTAGACATTATGTTTGAAACATGTAGTTATGTTAGGCTATAGTGTATTTGTCCAAGTGGACTTAAAAATAAGCATTCTTATGTAGTCATATCTTGAATTTTTTTAAGCAAATTTTGATAATTTTGAAATTATTGCAGATTTTAGAATATGACGAATTGTTTTGGTAATATTTATTTGGATATGGAAAAGCATTTTCATTGTAAAATTCTCTTGTCCAATGACCATATAGCTCCATACAGTGTTAGGCAAATTGCAATCTGATTGATGGTTAAATGGTAGATGTAATCATTAGTCAGCAAAGTAATCATACCATATGATTACAATAAAAATATAATCTTAATTATAATTATTGATAGTAAATCACTTTACATTTTAACTATCGTTAGACTCTTACTATTATTGTTTTAAACTATTCATAAATAAATTGGTTATTTTCAAATATAATGAGATACTATAAAAACAAAGTTTTAAAATGTATACACATAATAAACTTAATTAAGATTTATGATTGATTAAATCAAGATAATTTTTTGTTTTTAATATAGAAAAAACTAATAGTATAGTAATTTTTATACAGTTGAATAATGTATGTAACTGTTGGTAGGTATTAACTAATTGCGTCTTTAAATTTTTATCAGGTATACAGAGTTATAACTTTAAGGTAGGGCCCTAGTAATTTTCGAAAATAATGCTAATTTTTGTTTGTTTTTTATATTTATTATTACAAGTGTCTTAATTATTGACCAGTCAACATTTTCTGTAAATTATTTCCAATTTTAAAAGTTACATACATATTACATACGTCAAACTTTTTTCCTTATGTTTAGTGATATAATTTGTTTTTTTTAGAAAAACTATAAAAATCAAACACTTTTAATAATTTCACACATATTAGTATTGTTTACATTTTACTAGTTTTTACCATCTACCGTTTTGCGTCACACCATTAATTTAAATGTATTTGAATCACTTTCAGTGGTTATAATAGTTCCATCCTAGTGGCGACTACGCTGGGTTTTTTTACTTGGCATTTATCATGTGATTGTTAAATACAATTTTCTAAAAGCAACGTAACTACAATGACCATGGCTATTTCTTTTGATTTTGATTTAACATTTATGTCGTTATGATCGAATGAAATACGTATTAAGTATTAACATAAAGTATATGTTATGAAATAGTTGATCTAGTAAGTCAATAAGTATTAAATTATAATTCTTTTTTCAGGAATAAAAAATGTCCTCGTAGAATAAAATGTATAATAATGTGTATACTATACAAACCAGGTTATGAAAGGGTTTATGACGTATTCAAGTACATCACAATATCACTTTATTGGATTATTTCATAATGATTTTACGAGAATGGTATAATATTTTATTACACCGATGAAAGGATTTGATAATAAAAATTTGCATAATAGATTTGTTATGCATATTTTATTAACAAACTCATTAAGAACGTTTAATACACATTGTAAAAAACCATAATAATAATAATAATCAGTTTCAAACAGTTTATCTACGTTTGTGTCCACCTTTCTGTTTACCCAAACGCTTTCCAGTGTTTGCCGTAGGTCTCTTGAAAGAACTCTTACTGCGACCACGTCCTCCTTTCTTTTTATCACCATCTTGTTTCGCTCTAAATCTCCTTTAAATATAAATAACAGTATTAAAAATTAATAAACAATACTGCTTTAATATTACGAGGACTTACTGTGATTCTTCCGCATGGATCGCTTTATTTGCAGCTTTTTCCAAATTGAATTTAGGCTTTTTGTTATTAATTGATTCTAATATTTGAAGACTGCTTTGTTTTTCTTCTTTCATGCTCTAAAACAGATTAATTTTGAATTTTTCGGTTCTATAACGTTTGGTTATAAAGGAATGGAGAAAATGCCAATTATTGTATAACAGCATGTCAATACAGAAATATTTAGAAATTAACAGCACACTTGTTTTTGTACTAAGGGAAAAGTGACATAACTGCATTGGAATAAAATGAGCCGTCGAGAGCAAAAGATGTGCAAGTCACGTTTACACACAATCTGTAGTAACACCACCAGGCGATATTGCATGTGAAAGTGGTTCGAGTGTTTTCCACTGGACGGCATGAGAACTTTTACATTCTCGTAAAAACGTACACAAAATTTTAACTTTAACCTTTCATTTCTCAACTTTGAATTTTTGTGACTTACACCACTTTTGCTTCGACGGCATAAATAACACAAATGTTTTATTCATATACCTTGGCAGGAACTTTTTCTTTTTTCAGTCCCGGTATGCTTTTCTTTTGTGATAGATCTTCTTTTTTTAATTTTTGTTGGAATTTACCCACTGACGCGGTCGAAATTCTTGCAACATCAACAGCCGTTTTTAACTAAAAAAAAAAATAATATATAGTTTATTACATTGAGGTACAAATGTGTACGTTTTTAATAGTTATTTACCTGGCTTGAATGTAAGGTGCCTTCTAGCGGTGGTAATCCGACAGTAGGAACTTTGATTTTACGAGAGGCGGCGATATTACGTAATCTTTGATATTCGTTTTTGGCCACTCGTTCTTTCTTGGCTTCTCTTTTTTGAGCAAACAAATCAATATTCGGATCGGCCGCATTTCCTGGGACTTCCAAAATCCAATCTTTTTCTTTTTCTGCGGCTGCTTTTTTATAACCATAAGCCGGAACCCATTTCTGTAAAAAAATTAACATCATAATGATAATAGTTATTTACCATTTAATCATCTATAAATAATTGTTAAAAATATCTTAATTTTTTTTTAAATTATATGATAATATTGACGGTTTAAGGGCTATTTGCTGAACGCAACATTTTCCTAACGTTTCATAAGAGTGTAAAGACAGTTGTCATTTATATTAAACTGTTTGCTCTTTGTTACTTACTGCAAATGGCCACTTAGCAATTGAAACATTACCTGGAGTATATCGTCCCATGACTTCTTAGGTTTGGGAGTTTTCTTAATACCTTTTTCGATAGCAAACTTCTGCCATTTAGTGAGCGCTTTAGGTGCTGGCAAAGGTTTTTCTCTAGGGATATTATACCTTGGTTCTGGCAAATCAACATACATATAACCTTCTTCAGTTTTCATGGGCAATTCAAACAGTTTGTTAATTAACAATTGCACATTATCACGAGTTTCGTTCGCCAAATAAGACTCTTGATCAGATCTAAAAACAAAATAATGTTAAATCTACGATATTTACATAAACCACTAGTTAAGGTATACATACCGAAGTTGTTTAGTGTCAAAATCATTAGAGTCAAAACAAAGTAACGTCCCCAAATCGATTTCCGGTTCCAAAACTTTGGAAACAGCTACACTACGTTGGGCAGCTTGGTCTTTGGCTGCCTTCTGATTCAATACTTCAGAAATGTCTTCCATTTCAAAAAGATTTAACAATTAATCAAATTGAACTTTTAAAACATTTAATATTTATACGTTCTCAAAAGAAATAGTAAATAAAATCTAATGATTGTTCGCACGTTTTGTTTTTTTTAATATTTTGCCACAGTACTTTTTTTGAGGTTAGATTATCATTCAACGTTGCCAACTGTTATTCTTATCACTTAGATTTCGATATCGCAACGGTGAAACATTTTTATAGTGCATTTTTCCCATACACATTTTGCCATATTCGTTTACAATTACCCCACTTGACCCTAGTAATTAACTTTTAAAATTTAATTCAAATATTTGCTTATAATCTTACCAAGTAGTGCTGGAAAATTCTAAATTTTTGACGATAGATAATTAACTTTTGATATTTGAATTATGAAGCATAAAAAATTAAAAACTGGCCGAATATTAAATTAATATTTTAATTTTAAATAGAAAATGCGTATTTTGTAATAACTTGAAAATACTTTAAATTACTTGATTTTTTTTTTAGAACTCTATTTTCTTATTACGAGTTAGTGTTATTAACTAAACAAGTATTAATTATAGTTCGATTGTTTCCCAAATTTTTAATATTTTTCTAAGTACTTTAAAATATACAATAACAAATTTTGACTACTTGTGTGTACTGTTTTGTGTATTACGCATAATTTAATTTTTATTGTAGGTAAATGATAAATTACGGTATTTTACAATAGTTATTTAAAATTTAGCCCTTGCTAAGTTAAGGGATAACTGTTTTCATATTTTCAGTATAGATAAGTATAAGTATTCTAAGTTCAGTTTAACTATTTTAGGAACAAATCTACTTTACCGGACACCTTTTTTTTTTAAATCGATAGTATTGCATGCTGATTATGAATCTGCAAACATTTTGGGCCGCTCGCACCTACTTTGGAAGTTACAGACGTTTGAAGTTCGCAGATTTTGACTTACGCGCGCGCCCGGCAGGTCCCGTCTCCCGGCGGCCCCCGGGTACTTCGTTAGTCGGTCGCCGCTCTCGACATACCGGCCGTCTTTCGACGTCGGTGTCGTACTTTAGCGAACACCTTTTTTTTTCGATTTTTGATTGCCATATTATAATGTTTTTTACGCTGATTACGAATCTGAATTTAAAATCGGGCAGACTTCTTTTTTCAGTTAAGTTTTAATTAAATAAACTACTAACTATGCAGAACAACTCCCTACGCCTGCCGGCTCCGGGAGCCGTCTCGAGCCCCTTTGGGGCTCTTCGTTGGATGGGGGCTCACGCCCCCAAACCCCCAGAGGAAAAAATAGCTCACCTAAAGGGAATAAAAAAAACTAACCTGATACTGCTCTGAAAGCGGTTAGTGACCTAACGAGTCCAAACCTAGCCTGCTTAATGTTAGTCATTAGTGGTGGGCACGATGGGTGGGAGACAAGTAGACGAGGGAACCGCGGTGACCGACGAACAATGTGTCCAGCGTTCGCGGGTAGACGGGGCCTGCCGGGCGCGCGCGTAAGTCAAAATCTGCGAACTTCAAACGTCTGTAACTTTCAAAGTAAGTGCGAGCGGCCTAAAATGTTTGTAGATTCGTAATCAGCATGCAAAATACTATCGATTTAAAAAAAAGGTGTCCGGTAAAGTAGATTTATACCCTATTTTATGTATAAGTTATAGGTAAAACTTCAATACTATGCGACAGTAATTGTTTTTTTTATCAACATAAAACAGTTAAGGTAAATATAAGATTTCTGAATTAGTATGCAACATGATAGGTAATTTTTTCAATAGTTGTAACTTAATAATGCTTTACCTATTTTGAAATTATAAATCACCTTTTACCCGACCTCCTCAAATGACGAAAATAAATAAAAAAATTACCTTTAAGTATGGCTAACTGTTGAAAACGTCAGACAGGTAGATAGGTACTTTATTTCTAAATAATTAAAAAACATTATTATCTTTTAATTTTATTATCGGTTTTCATATTTAGACGCAAAGGATGGGCAATATTTGTTATTTGACATCATTTCGTTTACCTTTATGAAGCGATGAATAATGTCATATTTTAAGGCTGGTTCACACGAAGAGCGTTAAACGCGCGTTAGTCATACGTACACAACAGTTTCATTATAGTTGTAAACGCGCGTTTAACGCTTCTCATGTGGGCCTTAATTAATCATATTAACCTGGTTGAACAGCTGAGTAGGATTTGTATAGGTTTTTGATATTTGATTATATATGAAAAAAAAATTGTTGTAATATTCATACACAATTTATTTATTATTTGTTTGAATGTCTTAATGATAATAATAATAGGTCCCATACAAAATTAAATAACATTAATAGATACAATTTTTAAATTATCGAATAAAATGTATTTAAGATACATAAATGAAACACTTTATTTTATTTTTAATCAAAAAATCGTGTATTATTATAAAATGAATTTTAAATAAGTATGAAATTACATTTTAATCATTTGTATCTGTGAAACGTAAAAAACTAAATGCATTCCTTTATTAAGTTGTAAATAGTTTGTATTATTTACAATTTACAAATAAAAAATTATCTTTCAATCGTCTATTAATATATAATTCGTCATAATATGTTCTATTATTTATTATATTATTTAAATTTTGCCCAACACTGTCATAAATACAAAGAACTGGTTTATTGTGATATTTCATAGAAAAATAGTGGTATTATCTATTTCATATTTGTTATGGCGCTTCAACGCACACAAAATCGATGGTCATATTACCGTAGCAAACAATAAACTATATTTTACATTATTATTTTATTAAACAATTGCGCTTATTTTAGTAATATAAATATATACAACGTTTGGCGAAACCACAACTCAGGTATGTTCTACATTATCGAGTATCTACTTTATAATCACAAATCATTACTCACATACATTTAAATGATACTTAAATAGGTAATCGTTTTCGCACGAACGTGATAGTGTTCTAAGAAGTAGATATACATAACCAATGTATAAAATATGGTTTTACGATTATACATAATAATATATAATATATAGTGACGATACGGTCACTATCGAGTGTATTTATTGGTAACTATAAGTATAGTAGTTTTAAGCAAACAATTATTTTTCATTACCGCATAGTTATTATAAAGTGGGTAGGTAAGTCGTCTGGATTATTAAGAGCAAGTGGTGGCTCAAAAGAAGGAGGGGGGATTTGTCGGGCAAACAGTAAAAAAAAAAATGTATTAACTAATTATTGTAGTTTTAGACTGTTGTCCGAACTTGGGTTAGAGATTGGTGACACGTGTACGATCATCTTCGTGAAACGTATAACAATAATAATATGATGACACTAACAAGTAACAATAATCGTACTCTTAAGAGGGCGTCGCACCGTCCATTTTTAAAGAGTAAAGTATAGGCAATTTTCTACAAAATCTTAATTTAAGGTTAAACTGTGATGTGTAATTATTAGTTTAATAACTATGACTCTATTTTTGGTAGTTGATTTATTTTTTGGACTATCACAGTATCCTTGAAAGCGATTTAAAAATGTTTTTTTATCTCAACTTGTTTAATCAGACTGAAAATAACTCGTTTAATTTTGGATTTAGAGTAAAAGCACCCATTATAAAATTAAAAGAGAACAATATTTTGGAAGGCGAGACGGTGCGCTTTTTTAATTATTCCAAGTATAACGCTCAATACATAGTTTAGAAATAACGACTATTTTAACATTTTTAAATGACTGTAACTTTCCAAAAAATTAATTTTTTTTTTTAAAACGCTCCGTCTCGCCCTCCGGAATATTGTTTTCTTTTAATTTTAAAATGTGTGCTTTTACTCTAAAACCAAAATTAAGCAAGTTATTTTCAGTCTGCTTAAACGTGTTTTTACCACTGAAAATCACCGGTGCGACGCCCTCTTAATAATTATTATCCAGTTCAGTTACACTGCGTTTGACATGGGTATTTTTTAATCACTATTATATGTGTGTAAAGTTAGTGGATGGAAAAACACAGTCTATATTTTGTCAACGGTATACTTAGAACTCTTTGTCCAGCAGGTCTTTTAAGCCGTTTACGAGTAGCTCGACGGTTGCCGTTAGATGTTTGTCGCGTTTGAATACCGCATCTAAGAACAACGGATCCGAAAAGAACTCGAACGTCCTGTCTATTCTTGTCATTGTTTTGTCGGTAAGATGTCTCTTGGTGAGCTGTTTAAGCATTTCCCGGCATACCGAAAAGTGCGTGGTCAAGTAGTTCCTGTCGTAGCTGTACTCGATTTCGTAGAAGCTCACAGCTGTCATGGTGAGCTCTTTGAATTTCAACTTAAAGTCGTCGGCCAGCGCCAGTTCGTTTTTATTGAACTGATTGTTTCTGGAAAGTATGCCTATTTTCACTATTATCTTAATGATGTTTTTCGTTAGTTTTTCAGAATCCCTCTTGTTGCCAGTCTGAAACAGTACAACACTTTTAATCACTATTTCAAACATAATAGACATAATATAATATTAATTTTATAGTTGTGACGTGACATAGTGTAATAAATAAATGTAAAACTTAAATAGAGGCCGTCGTATGCCGTCTCGGGAGGAGAATGGCTGCCGCTCCACTCCGCTATCGAATAATACATTATATTATTATGTCACTCTATTCAAATTTTACTTAATGAACATAGCGATTTTGAAAACTAATTATTATGGAAATTTAATGTCAACAATTGTTATAAACTTATATAATCAGAGCTTGAAGTGAGTTCTACTTACAAATAATGTTTAGTGAATTACCATTTAAAAAGTCAGATTATATTTTTTAAAACAAATTAGGTATGTAAAATATTCTATATTTGTAATACAACAATAAAGAGTTATGAAAATAAACTACTATGATAACCGTTATCGGTTTAGCAGAAAATTCAAATAAAAATAATTATATTTTGCAAGACATGAAAAGCCAATTAAAACGTGAACTAATAAAAAATCTTAATACCCTGGAGGTACTCAATAACTAATTTAAGAATGGGTGTAAAAACGTTTTTACACCAATTCTTAAAATTATAATTTTTTTTGATATTTTATGTAGAGTAGTAAATCGGGTTAAAAAATAAAATAATAATTACAGATATTTGTTTTTTGATTTATATATACAAGCTGATAATTATATGTTTTTTAATTATTGTCATGTATAATAATTATTATGTTTGTATGTTTTTAACACGTTCACTGTCCGATGACCCCTTTGTGGTTCATGGTTTATTTATAGATAAGTCCCTAATTAATTAATTAGTTAATTAAGTCCCTATCATCTCACCTGTCCAACTGTGTTATTATGAATTTCATAGAATATAGTCCATACAAATAAATCTCCAGAGAAATAAATGTTTGAAATGAACCACATGTGGATCATGGACTACTAAAATAAGTTGAACGTGACCCATATATAGATCATAGGACTGATAACTTTTGATTTAATTTAACATTAAGACAGTGAACGTGTTAATAATAATATTGACAAATATTTATATATTACTTGTATAAATGTCACGGCTAATGTTAACATTTAGATTAGTCGGATTTGGACATAACCCAAAACTGCCAAATGGTATTATAATACTTGTCACAGATAGGTATAGATACATATGATTCAAGTATTAAAATATTTAAAACTTAAAATACTTAACATTGTCAACTCATCGTAGCGTAGCTACAATAGATACCGGTTAGAATGAAAAAATGATCATATTGTGTTTGTTACTTGTACTGAATTTTATTTACTTACATAAAGTTTTGCCAGCCTGTACACGTTGTCCAAAATACTGGCATTGCGATCGTCAATAAACAATTTCACGACACTTTTATTGGTGACTTTGCTCATAAACTTTTTTTGTACTTGCAGTACAATATCTTTAGACTCGAACGCCTCCATCATGCCTGTATGCACATAAACAGAACAGTGTTGACGCAAATTAATAAACTATATTTATTGATATTGTACTAAAGTGTTCACACGAGCACAACAACTGTACGGCGTACGCGGAGGTGACTAAGAACGATTTACAATGATCGTTTCTTTTTCGCCGGAACTGTTAAAAATAAGCGAGAGACTTGTAAATCATTGTTATTCATATGCGATGCACAGTGCCGATTAGTAATTGTGCATAATATGCGTGTCGGACGTCTCTAGCTATAATAATAAATCAGCGAGTGAATATTTTTTTTTTAAGTATTACGCATACACCTACCCATATGTTTATTATATTATATTGTTGTTATTAATTGAAACTACAACGTTTCCCCGAAGGTCGGGTTCAATTAACATAGCTCTTTGATTGAAACGAACTGGAACTACCGGTCAACAGTATATGTTGTACTTGTAGGACGAGAAATGCGATACTAGACGCAAACACACTAGTGCTCCACTATTATAACGAAACTGGTTCAAGTATACAAATATTTCCCAAGACCTATCATTATATAATTATTATTATCGTCGTTCAGCGGGATGCGGTTTGAAAAAATTATAGGTATCTTGTCGATGGGTTCGTTTCCGGAAACTCCTGCGAAACGGTAAATGTCAGGACTTCATGTTTTATCATCGAGTATTTTTCTTCTATAATTGTTATTACCTACCTACTACTTCCATTAACTAATTCAAATTGGTATGAAGAATGTGCAGATTCCATAGTTTATTTTCTTGGTGCCAGTTTTGGGACTATTTTTTTCGCTTGTACAATAATTGATTGAAACGGAACCTATTCGAGTAAGGTTTGGTAGTAGTAAACAAAAATTGTTTTCATATTCTACTGGTTTTTTTTTTGTACTCTCTATTAGACAAATTATATGGCTGATATTCTCTCGCTAAATGTTATTAAAGAACAAAATCAGTTCAGCTATCAACTTATAAATGTGATTATTTATTACGGTGGTCATTAGGTTTTACATGAAAATAATAAGGGCAAGAAAGAACCAAAGCCCATAAGCGACCCTAGATGCGCGTCTGCCTAAAAGCGTTGTCCACACTGCAATAATAGATTTTGAAAAGGTTTTTTAATATTTCAATTGTTGTCAAAATATGCTTTGACCGAAAATGAAATTCTTATAACGCAAATGTACCATAAAATTTCTCGAATATTATATAACTACACATTTAATAGTAGTTGTCGAAAACAAGTATTATAATAGAATGTAAATAATCTTGTTTTCCGAACATCGACAAAAGATTTTTAAATAATCTATTTTGCTAAATTGTTGTGTAGCATCGACACAACGTTAACTATAGATACATATAATAAAATCATATACTAATTAGTTATTAAAAACTCACCGACGATTCCCGTTTGATTTGGTTTGTTTGTGTTGGTCTGTGCACAAATGTATATTTTTGAAAAGGATAACGCGAATTAATTCATTAAAACAAATATAGTATAATATAATAATGTGTTAAAATTATTGTTGTTTTTATTTTTTAACTATACGATTTTGTTTGTTTTTTAAATAAAATCGCGATAGCATACATGTTATCGTCGAACGCTACCTACGCTCTGCACACAGGAACTGGACTAAAACCGTTTGTGCATTCGGCGGACGGAAACAGCTGCCTCTTTTGATATTCGAACGGCGGTTGTAATAGTGAAGAACACACGGTATACAATAGGGAAAAACGCGAATACAGCTGCCACCTTTGCCCGGGCATTGTGATATTACACTGACCATACGGCTTTGAAATTACCTGTCGTGAACCTCCCCGCCGCTATGGAATTTGATAATAATATTCGAAATTTTATCTTGTTAATTCTCACAAAAATAGTCTCACCGAGAAAAAATAAGAGGAGATACACTAAAAGGCTACAAAGAGGTACAGGTACACCAAGGTTTAACGCGAGGTGGTCCTTTAAGTATAATATGACCTATGTTGGAGGATAAATGATGGTTTTTTGATTTCTCAGGTCAGCAGTAAAAATGGATTTTATTTTACTAAGCAAACCTACATTATGCACCGCAGTGTATAAAGTATCCAGGAAAGTCAAATACATAGTTTTACTACCTATATTAGAATCTTTAATTACAGTTTTTTTTATAAAGCAGTTTTTGGCTGGGTGTGCTCACTTTAATGAACGTATTCATATAATGCACGTTATTCAAATTTAACTATTGCATTACATTTTTGATAATTGTAACCGTTGAAACATTTTAGTAATACCATGATAACATTTTCAAACAAATTTTATTCGGTACATTCATAAATAATTTATTTAAGTATTTTTCGTTTAAAAATGTCGGCATAGTCAAAAGTAAAGCCATATAAAATACATTTCATTTGCAGTTTCTTTAATGTAAACATTCGACATGAGTTTGTTGTTTCAGTCAGATTTGTTCAGCAAATATGTACGTTAACATTTTTGTATACAGGATGATTCTTTTCTCACGATCCACTCAATATCTCATAGGGTTTAATAAGAAATTAAAATATTTTTTTACATATTGTTGTTACACAATGTGATCTCAATTTTTCATAATTTTTTTTTGTTTTATCCCCCCCCCAACTTAGTTTTTTCGATAGCAACTTTTGAAACTTAAACGGTAACGTATATATTTTATTAACTTTTTAAGTTGAGAATGATGTACTAACAATTTTGACTGGTCGATAACCAGTTTCGGACAACTATTTTTGAAGTTATAAGAGTTTAAAAGTTTTGATGGGAGGGGAAGTGTGTGGTTGGGAAATGCGCGCAGATTAAAATTTATTTATATATTTACATTTGGGTTGAGAAGATCTCTGGGCCATTTACGCTTAAGGCGGTGTGGTGGATTGTCAGGAAGAGCGAGGGAAGATAATTTAGATATTAGTGGATTTTGGTGATTGAAAGTGTTGTTGTGGAAGTTTTTATAGAATTGGGAAGCTAAGTCGTTATGTAGAGTTCGGTTGCTAACATACCATGGGGCATTAGTAATGAGGCGAAGAGATATTGATTGAAAGGACTGATGGGTTTGGATATTTGACTTTTTTGCTGCGCCCCATAACTAGATGCCGTAAGTCATAGAAGGCCGAATTAATTGCTTTTAAATGAGGAGTTTTGTATTAAGGGGTAATTTTGATTTTAGTAGTTGTCTGAGTTGATGGAGCCTGAAGTTAAGTGCTTTGCGTTTTAGTTTTATATGATAGGACCAGTTAAGTATTTTGTCTAGGTGGATACCCAGATACCTAACGACATTATCTTGGGGAATTATGTTGTTATTAATCTGTAACGGGGGATTAATGTCTTGACAGAGAGTAAATATAATGTGTAGCGATTTGTTTGTGTTGATTTTAATTCTCTAGAGTTCAAACCAGTTTTGTAAGTCGTCGAGGTGTTTTTGAAGAGTTTCAGATGCGGTTATCTTACATTTTTTTATTTGATCTAGGACAATTTCATGGTAATATTAGGAGCTGGTTTAGTAAAAATGGTATGATGAAGTTATTATATATAAGTTAGTTAAAATCGTAGCACTTTATTTATTTGACAACATTTATTGTTTTGATAACACTGTTAGGTTATTGGGTAAACTATGATAATTTTTCACAACAATGAAGAAGTGAATATTTAACATGTAAGGTCACACAATTAAAATTATTACATCATTATGATAAAAGTAAACTGTTTTGAAAAATGTAAACCAAAATTTACATAGCATTATAAACCGTATAAATCGCTTAAACTATTTGTAACCCAATTTAAAATGTTGAGATTAATAAAATAAATTTAAATTTAATAATGACATTATCTTAAAATTAAACATTGGTAATGAGAAAAACGTTTAAATGAAGCTGTCACTTGAAAATCAATATCTTTAAATAACTGTTTTACAATTTTCCTAAGTTCAGCAAAACTAAATTGACTCTCAAGATCCTGAGACTGATTTAATCTAAAATTATCTTTATCTCAAAAGGAATTATTACGTTCTAACATAGAAAACCTTTTTAAAAAATACGTTTTGGTGAACTTGTTAGTAGTAAAGTTATTTTGGTTTAATTTAAAATTATTCGAATTTATTTCGTTTAGATGTGCCATAACGGTTTTTTCGTGCTCTATGTTTTTTTCTACATCGGTACTTAGTTGTGTTCTCTATTTTATTTCTCTACCGAAAAACCAACGAACAATAACATATTTTTCTTGATAGTTTTGTTTGCCGTGGTAGAGTTTATATGCGGCGTACCGTTTTTTTATGTACTTTAGCGCTATTTAAATAATATTTCACGGGCTATACCTTATGTACAACATGTTTTTCAACGATCGTGTCGCTTTTTATATTTACCGACTACTGCCTTTGCGAATCCGTAAAACAAATGCAAGTTTTAATAAAAAAAAAACCCTTGTGCGAACGATTACTGACAATATCTACGCGTATTAAGTATGGTTATCCATGGATATTCATAAAGCAATATACCATTACAATGAGGTTGGGACTTGAGTTAGACCAAGCTGACTGAATATGATTAAATAATTTCCAAACCAATGTTTCCATGCGAATCAGTAGAAATACAACTATCGATAATAGTCTTGTAATAATGGTTAATGTACTTAATATTGTATTTTTACCATTAGGGTGTCTACAGAGGGTAAACCACTATTGGGAATCAGTGTACAAATCTCAAGAAATCTTTGGAAATCAGAAATCTGGTGTACAAATTATTTAATAGTGGTCTACCCACTGGGTGGCTACGATTAGGGCTGATCTTTTTTCTGCAATTATTTTTTTGCTGTTGTTACCCACATATTGTAACCAATAATATAGTGCGTATACATTTCAGATACCTGTTGACCTGTAATTTTCCCCTTAAGTTTGGTTTTACCTTAAAAAAAAAAAAAAAGTTCACTACAGATTTCTAAGAAAATGTTTTATGATGTTATAGACCCATTCTAGAAAAATCTTTGGAATCTTGAAGAATACACCATTAGTCAAAAGAATCGGAAAATATATTTAAAAAAAAAAGGTAGGTACTCATCCCATTTAAGAACTATAATAAAACATTTGGTTCGAGCGTCCAATTCTATAATAAACTAAATTTTTCTATATTTAGAAATTTTTTTATCTTTAACCCTTATACGCTTAAGAAGTAGGTACGGAACTAGTTTTTCTCAAATAGGAACATAGGTTTTTAAAACCATAAATATGTAGACAATTTTTTTTTTTAAATGTTAACGTTTGAATTTTCAATTTTTTATTATCTGTATTTGTTTTCAGCAGTAGCACTTTTATGTGCCATTAAATAATAAACATAATATTGTTCCCCATCGATAATACAGTCAACGAAAATGAGACATAAAAAAAACTGGCTCGTAGTATGAATTGCGAGGTAAAATACCCAGTACA